GTGGCAGTGATGGCCTCTCCCCAGATGCTAATTATTTTGATGGTGTTGGCCTGCATCTTCTTCCATTCCTACTTATCAAATCACATATTCCTCAATAACATGGAGTCAATCCCTTTCAGAGACTTATATCTTGGTTACCCAGGTATCTTGATGCCATTTTGGTGCCATTTTTGGGACCAGTTGTGGATGGCATGACTCAAACATGGCCATCTTTACACTGAGACTTGCCCCACTGAGGACTCCATGGATGGAGAGTACATCTCTTTTGGGTTTTAACTAGATTGTGCAATGGTTAGAGCTTCAGGGTCTGGAGTCAGAAAGATTTGAGTTCGAATGTGGTCTTAGACACTTACTAGCTGTGTGGTCCGGACAAGTCATTAAACTTTGTTTGCCTCAGTTTCTTCCACTGTAAAATGGGGATAATACTAGTACCTCCCAGGGTTGTTGGAGGGATCAAATGAAATAATAATTATAAAGCACTTAGCACAGTGCCTGGCATATAGTAAGTGTTTAATAAGTATTAATTATTATTATTCCCTCTGATCTAGGGGTTTTGCATTATTTGTTTTACTCTAGAACATTTATTCATTGTGTTGAAGCCTCTTTTTTTTACTCACTTTTTTCAATCTCCACTGCTTTTTCTGAGAGGTTTTCCTCATGATGAGCTCTTTCCCTTCCTTGGTGTTTGGTGTTGGTCTTTTGCTTTACTTGTCACATTCCTTGCTATTCTGAGATGATAGAGGGCAGCTAAGCTTAGATAAGAGCCCTTCCTCAGGAGTCTCAGCTATCCTTCCCCTTCCCTATTTGACTTTGGGCAAGTCTCCGGGCCTCAGTTTCTTCATCAGTAAAATGAGGAGCTTAGGCTAGGTGACATTTAAGTTTGCTTCCAGGTTTAAATCTGTCATCCTTTGTGCAATGGATCTCTTAAGTCTCTCTGTGGAAGATCAGAATGTACAAATACAGAGTGCATTCTAGAAGGGAGAGGACCTGTCAGAGATGAGATAGACACTGGCAAGGTACAGGGAAAGCTAATTGGCTTCCATGGAAACTATGGCCCAAGGTGCCCAGCCTCATGGTCCCACTACTTTTTAATTAGCAAAATCCAAGCACTTTTGCAATACTCCCAGTGGGAGCAGACCATGGTGACCAGGGAGAAGTGGAATGACTAAGGTGAAGAGTCAGTAGGAGTTCAATGCAAAGGGAGAGTGTTAGGGACTGTGGTGAAAGGTTTTTGAAGTAGCTTCTGTATTTACCAAAGTTTTGATGGCTGGAAGAAGGTGCTTGAGCTTCCTCACTGCCTCAGTGTTCAAACAGCCCTCTTTCCATCCCCAACCCCAGCCCGACTCCCCACCTTCCTTAATTCGATTTAAGAAACATTTAATTCATCCACGGGCTCAGAGTTCCTGCCTGTATGTACATGGAGTCCTATGGAGCAATGGGTTTTGCTAAGTTGGGGGCCTGACTGATCCAAGGAACTTCTTCCTAGCCCCAACTTGCATGAAACTCTGGAATTTCAGGGACCACCACCCCAGACTATTCATCCCTGGTCTTCTGCTCTCTATCTGGGACCTAAAGAAAAGCTTGCCAATACCCTTTATCAGCTTTGATGTTATCTTAATTTATATTACCAGGACTCTCCTCAAGTGATCCTTTGCTGATGGTTCCCAGGCCTTCAGAAGCAACTCTTTCGGGTCTGAAACTTGAGCAGTGCTGCAAGAGGGGAGAGGGTGAATCTTTTAACTTTAGGATGGGCCAGAATGGACAAATGTGCTCCTTTTCTACACTTGTCAAGGGTGGAGGACAAGAAAATTTTACAGAAAACGAATATCCAGAATTCAAGGAGTCATCCTGTTTTTTGGCATTGGCTCCCCTGGAAGGTTTTTTGGGGATCCCCATAACCTGTAGTCTGAAGTTAAGCATTCAACATATCTGGTCTCTGAGCAACAAAGGGGTCTGTCAGCCACCAAGGTTAGATTTAAATACTGTAAAAAAGTTTCCCCACATATTTCCCCAGTATATGTAATATGAGATTTGATTTAGAGAAATTTCAGGTATGTACAGCTTTTCAATAACATGTGCATCGTGTAAAGGGAGGTATATCCTTAATCTGAGATTGAAACAGGAGCTAGTGTTCACAGCCTGACTCAATCCTTGGCTTACTTTCAACACTAATCTCAGCAAAGAAGAGAGCATGCCATGTAGGCAGAAGTAAGCTGAACTTCCATTAATGAGGGTGGCTTGTTTCACAGACATAGCTAGCGACTTTAGTACCAGATTTACAAGGCATGAATGCCAAGGCAGAGGGGTTGGTTGTTACGGGGACCTCAAAGATTCTTAGATTGGACCTTTTGGTAGGAAGAGGAAGATGTGTGGAAGAATCCTAAAATTGTAGATTTAGAACTGGAAGGGACCTTTGAAAATTATCAGGCCCCCAACCTTCTCATTTTATAGATGAAGTAAAGTGATTTGTCCCAAGTCACGAGGGTAATAAGGGGCAGAACTGGGATTCAAACTTAGGACTTCTGACTCTAAATTCAGTGTCCTTTCCACTATGCCATGGGAGAAACAGCTGATATAGGGACAAGAGATTTTAGGGTCTTATTTTTCTTCTTCTGTTCCCCTCCCCTTTTTATCACACATACCTGCTGTAAGTCAGGACATTGTCATAGAATCCCTCTGATTCCCATAGGCTTCCCAACACCATCCATGCCTATTCTACAGTTAAGGGAAAACAGCCTACATGAATCAACCACTTCCTCATCCTAACCTTCCCACCATCCAAATAAAAGCAAATGCCTTCTTCCAAAAGCCTAAACTGGACCCAGAGCAATCTCCTAGGATGCATTTCAATCTGAAGAATCAATCAACAAGCATTTGTGTAGCACAGTGCTAGTTACTAGAGATAACAATGCAAAAAATGAAGCAGTCCCTGCTCTCATTCTAGCAGAAGACTTAGTGGGGTATAGATCATTGAACTACAAGGCAGGAGACCTTAATTGTAAAACCCTTGCTGAGTCGATTCTCTCAAACCTGAAGAGGTTGGGGAAGGAAAGAAACATTTATATAGCACCTACTATGCACTTTACAAAAATTATCTCATTTGATTCTCTCAACAACTCTGGGTTGTTTGCTGTTCAGTCATTCAGGAACATCCAACTCTTTGTGCCCCGTAGGCCATTGTATTCATGGGGTTTTCTTGGCTACTGGAGTGGTTTGCCATTTCCCTTTCCAGTGGATTAAGGCAAACAGAGGTTAAGTGACTTGCCCAGGGTTACATAACTAGTACATGTCTGAGCCTGGATTTGAACTCAGGTCTTCCTGACTCCGAGCTCTATCTATTGAACAATCTAGCTGCCTTCTAACAACCTTGGGAGGTAGATGCTATTACGATTCCCATTTTACAGATTGGGAAATTAAGGCAGACAGAGGTTAAGTGATTTGCCCAGGGTCACACAGCTAATGTATATCTGAGGCTAGATTTGAACTCATGTCTTCCTGACTTTAGGTCCAGTGTTCTATCAACTTGGCCACCTACCTGCCCCTAAGTAGCCTAGATAAAAATCTATAGTCATAGATTATAAATCTTATAGAGCTGTAAGAAGCCTTAAATACCATGAATCCAACTCCTTCATGCTCCAGATAAAGAAAGTGAAGGCAGAGAGGTGGGCAGGGTACTTTTGCCCTATCTGAGGTTATATCATTAGTTAATGGAAAACCTGGGTCCTGTGAATCCTCAGTATAAAGAGCTTTCTTGCAGCTCTGAAATTCTATAATTTGAATAATAAATCTCATAAATAGTTTTGAGGGCTCCCAGGTTCCACTAGGAAAACATAGATTTAGAACTGGAAAGAACCTAAGAGGTCAATGAGTCTCTCTCCCTCCCATTTTATAGATAAGGAAACTGAAGCCTACTCACAGACACACTTAGTAACTAATAAGAATCACTATTTGAACCCAGGTCCTTTGATACCAAATCCAGTACTCTTTCCGTTGCACCATAGTGCTTAACTAATAGCAGGCTACTACTATTTTGGAAGTAATTTTAAAGCCTGTTATACTCCCCTAAGATTTAAAGAGAATGCTTTTTAAAAAAAAAAAAACCTGGGTTTCTTCCTCTCTTGGATATAGGCCCCAGTTTAGAATTATAAATTTTGGAGCTGAAGGAGACTCTAGAAATCATCTTGTAAAATTTTACACACATCCCAGCAGATGTCTCAGAGATCATTTTAGCCCAATCTTACCATTTTCAGATGAGGAAACTGAGGCCCAAGAAAGTGACAATTCAGCAGAACTTGAGACCTATTTTATATAGCCATAGCTGACATTTATATAGTGCAGTAAGGTTGGCAGACACTGTATGTACAATCTCTGATTTGATCCTCACAACAATTCTATGAAGTAGGTGCTATTATTATCTCCATTTTACAGATGGGGAAACTGAGCCTCAGAGACTGGCCTATGGTCACGCAGTTCCTGGGTCAGGATTTCAACTATACCATACACTGCTTATATGGGGTATTCCAAAAGTCTTAGTGCAGTTTTAAGCTATTGAAGCTTAAAACTGAACTAAAATTTTTTGGGATACCCTATATGTTAATGCTTATTATTATTGTTAATAGCAGCTTTTTATATTTAGCAGCATTTATATAGCACTTTATAGCTTATAAAAATAAGACTTCATTTTATATGTATATATGTTTTATATGTATATGCAGTGATACCCCAACTCCAGAGAAAAAGGATGGGGGCCACTGCTGCTGGTAAAACAAAATATTTCACTAAGTTGATATCTAATGCATAGTATTACAGGGCAGGATCTACCCCCCCCCTTTTGTTCCCCTCCTCTCCCTTTCCTTCCTTTCCCTTCCCCTCCCCCTGCTTTCCCAACTTGTCACTCTGACAGGTTGCAGTTTCAGTGAAGGGAGGGGAGAGGAGGGAGAGGGGCTGCTGTCCAACCAGCCTGCTCAGTCTGAGGCCCAGAGCAGGGGATCTCTAAGAAGGGTATGCTACTGAACTGGCTTCTCTTTCATTCTGTTGACTCCTTTCTCCAGGGTCAGGGAAGATGGTGAGGTGGGAGCTGTGGGCTGCTGCTGTCTCTTTGGTTTTCCTCTCTATCCAAGCATTTCCACAAACAGACATTAAAATCAGCCCAGGTGAGTGTGGATTGGGAGGTCTGCAGAGGGGATAAATCTCAGCTCTTCCTTTCAGGGCATTTTGCAAAGGTCAGATAGATGCAAATTAGATCAACCAGAACTTCTCGTGTTTCAAAGAGTGCTCCTGTTCTTTCTCAGTGGCTTTTAATGCTGGAGTCAGGGCTGGGCTTGCTCAGCTCTGTGACAGCTCCCATTCACAGGGATTATTCTGGACACAGGTCAGCCCAGTCCTGGAGCCCAGTGACATGTTCCAGATGCTAGCTGCAGGGGTGTAAACTGAATGAATGAGTAAGCCATCTAAACCCAGGTGGTGTAGGGGGAGTGCTAGTTTTGCTATTGTAGGGTGATTGCATTGTGGGGAGACCTCAAGGACTCAGGGGCATCGCCAGATGTTCTTGAGAATTGAGGGATGCCAGGCTTCCTGAGGAGAGAGTTCTAGCAGCTGATGATCTGTAGTAGGTTTATTTAACTCTTATTTCACAATTTGAAGCAACAAGAAGTTTCAAATTGAGAGATAATACAAATTAGTGGAAGGAATGCTAGACTTAGCATCAGGAAAGATCTGAGTTCCAATCTTGCCTCATTGTCTTTACCTGCAAAATAAGGATGATACAACTTGTATTAGCTACCTTATTGGATTGTTGTGAGGAAACCTTAAAGCACTCTATAAATATGACTTATTATTTATTATCACTTATGGTTTATTGAGGCAATATTGCATAATGAGGTGGCCTCAGTCAGAAGAATGTGGGTTCAAGACCTATTTCTGATACCTATTGGCAAGTCACTGAACTCAGTGTCCTTAGGCAACTCTCTCAGATTATAAATTTCTACATTGGTAGAGGGAATTACTCCACCAATGAAGTGATAGGACTAGTAGTAGTAGTAGTAGTAGTAGTAGTAGTAATAATAATATTAATAATAATAATTCTGTTTACTGGACTTACTGTTCACTTTCATGAAGAGGATTTATGGCAAATTCCATTAAAATCAAATTAAAACTTGCACCTCACTAAACTATTGACACAAATCTGGGTTCTCAAACGCTATGGTGCAGAGGGCAGGGTAATACCAAGCTGGGAAGGGAAAGGTAATAAGCATTTGAATAGTTCCTACTATATCCTAAATGCCTTTATAAATATTATTTCTTTAAGTGGTCCTCACAATAATCCTGTGAGGCAAGTGGTGTTATTATCCCCATTTTTACAGTTGTGGAAACTGAGGCAAAGTGACTTGTCCAGGATCACGCAGCTCATAACAACCTTCTGCTGTTATTATCCATATTTTACAGTTGAGGAAAGTAAAGTTAAGCAACTTTCCCAGGGTCATGCAGTTAAGTGCCTGAAGTTAGACTTCATGCTGAATGCTCTATCCACTGCACCACCTCCCTGCTGTAAGTAGGTGGGCAGGTTTAAGTAAGGAAGAGACTATATGTCTGTTGTCTGAGGACCAGCCTGGCTAAGTTCTAAGCAGCTTATCAGCAGGTTAACTATAAAGTGATGGATTTTTCAATCACAGCAACTCTTAGAGACCATCTTATTCCCTAGAAGGGTGATCTGTCTTTGTGGAGGGAATGTCTACACATGGCAATGGCAAGAAAATAACAAATCTGCTCTCAGAATTTATGAAGCACTTAATGTACTTTACTCATTTGGTCCTTGGCAACAACTCTGTGAGACAGGCAGTGCTAATGTCATTATCATTCCCATTTTACAAGGAGAAAACTGAGGACCCAAAGGTCCCATGACCAATAAGTAGCTCTAGTGGTAGAGCCAGAATGTGTGAATCTCCATTTTATGATCCAAATTCCAGTTTTCTTTCCACTATCCTACTGTGGTAGAACAACTACCATGGAGTTTAATGGAAAAGCACTACAGTCCAAGGACCTGGGTTCAAATCCCACCTTTGATATTTATTACCTATATGTCCTTGGGCTCAGTTTCTTCCTCTGTAAAATGGAGGTGTTCGACTAGATGGCTTTGGAGGTCCTTCTCAGCTCTACAGCTGGTATCCTATCAGCTTTTGCCCTGTGGGTAGGGGCTTGTTGTTTGGGAAGTCATTAAACATAATGGAAGAGGAAGCAGTTTAAGGAGAGGGGTGGTCAGGATGGAAACAGGATTTTTCATTGAAGCAACCAGGTGGATGGAGCATGGACTTAAGATCAAGAAGACCTGAGTTCAAATCACATCTCAGATACTTATTAGCTTTGTGACCCTTGGCAAGTCACTTATTCTCTCTCTCTGACTCAGTTCCCTTATCTATAAAATGTGGATAAAAATAGTACCTACCTCCTGGAGTTGTGAGGATCAAATGAAGTAATGTTTGTAAGAATGCCTTGAAAAGTATTATAGAAATGCTAGCTATTATTATTATCATTATTATTTCATCCCAGTGGATAGAACATCTGTATTTATCTCTTCTAGCTCCTGGCACAATGAACAGTATCTAGTAGGTGCTTAATAAGTGTTTGATGGATGAATGAATGAAAGAGAATTTGGAGAATTTAATGTGAGAGCAAAAGTGGAGAACAGAAAAGAAGAGCATGATGTGTTTGGCAGCAGCCCAGATCTGCCTCTTCTCAGAAGGCCCAGAAGACTCCTATCTGTACAGATTCCCTAGAGGAAAATACTTCAACAAAGAAAGGGCAACAGGCTGCTGGCTGTTCTCAGTTTTCAAACTGAAGTTCAGTATTCTCCTATCCTAGTGTCTTTGAGGAATCTCTAGGGCAGCAGAGGGAGATGGACCCACCAAATGTTCTTTATCTCCAGAAGAAGACTGGCCCTAGTTTTCTCTTCTTGTCTACAACTGGGGGCAGGGAGTAGTCTTCTTAGAATGGCCACAGTTGAAGTATTTATGCCCCCTGAGGTGATGGTAGGCATCACCTGAAGGCAGCTAAGTGATGCTGTGGATAGGGTACTGGGTCTAGAAGACCTGAGGTTAAATTCAGTCTCAGGCAGTCTTAGGCAAGTCACTTAACTTCTGTTTATCTCTGTTTCCTAAACTGTAAAATGAAAATAATAATACCTACCTTACAGGGTTGGTGGGAGGGTCATATGAGATAATACTTGTAAAGCGCTTAAAGTGCCTGGCACATAATAGATGTTTAATAATTGCTTGTTTCCCTCTTTCTTTCCTCCTTTTTCTCCTTCCTTCCTTCTTCCTCCCCCCTCCTTCCTTCCTTCTTTTCTTCCCTTCTTCCTTCTTTCCTCTCTCCCTCCATTACTACCTTCCTTCCTTCCTTCCCTCTCTCCCTCTCTCCTTCTTTCCCTCATTCCTTTCTTCCTTCCTTCTCACCAGAGAATGTGGGATGGGGTTAGGGACTGAACCTGTGATTTAAAATGGAATAGAGAGCTCCAGAATGAGGAAACTCCCTCTACCAGAGCAGGTCAACATCTCTGTGATCTATAATCTCAGAGTTGCCTAGCCCACCGAGAGGTTGTGACATTACAGAGTCATGGGCCATCATGTGTCAGAGGCCAGACTAGAATCCAAGCATCCTGGTTTCAAGGCTCTCTGTTCACCATGTCATGTATAAAAAAAATAAGGGGACAGGGTCAGATTTGGGCCCCATCCTCATGCCCAGAAGACAAAAAGACTCTTTCCCAATCAATGCCACTGAATGACCAAGGTCTTACGACTCAGCTGTAAGTTTAGCCCAGAGCTGGCTCCAAATGAAGTCCCAGGAAGGCAGAGACAACTATGGAAATTGAATGTTCTCCTACCACTTTCTTTTCTCTTTTATTGCTGTGACTGACTTCAGAGGCAGCTTCCCATTCCTGAAGCAGTACTTGGCCTTCTGTAGCAAGTGGTTAGATTGAGTGGGAAGCTAACAAATTTTTTCTTTAAAAAAAAATAAATAAACAAAAACAGCAAAACTCCTCTCACCTTTCCTCACCCTCACCCCTACCCTGAACAAGACCAAAGCTCTCAAACATTGAATTCAAACACAACAGGTGAAATCTGTGGGTGACTCAATACATAACATCTGGCCAAAGCCTACACAGTTAGGGTCCCCTTTTGTAAACATGATAGGAAAACTAGCCGTAGTTTAATAATACTTGCTTGTATTTAAGTATTACTTTATGATTTCCAAAGCAATTTACAAATGCTGGCTTGTTTGATCCTCCTAACAATCTGGATTTAGAAAGCAACTTTACCTATAGCTAGCAATCTCCCTGAGCCTCTACCCAGAGGAAAGATATTTTTCCCCTGACCACTACTACTGAGTGACCAAGGACTTAGAACTCAGCTTAGAATTTCTGGCCAGAGCCAGTCAGGAAGGTCAGTATGGTTACCCCTATTTAATTCAGGTTAGTTGATCAGCAAGCATTTAAAAAAATTCCCAATTACATGTAAAAAGAATTTTTATATATTTTTAAAATTTTTGAGTTCCAAATTTTATCCCTCCTTCCCCCTTCTTCCTCCTTATTGAGAAGGCAAGCAATTTGATATAGGTTATTCGCTAAGCATTTATTAAGCACCTACTGTGTGCCAGGTACTGTGCTAGGCAAAGACAGTTTACCTCTCAAGGAGCTCACATAGTCTTAATGGAAAAGCTCACAGTCATCCTAGTTAAGCTTATAGCATGATTGCTTTGGAGTCAGAAGAATTAGGTTCAAATAATCTGGGTTCTAATTTGCATGATAAATAATTTGGCAAATAATTTTATTGCTCTGGACTTCAGTTTCATTGTCTGTAAGACGAGGGGATTGATTAGATAGCCCCACCACCACCTCCAATGTCCCTTCCAGATTGAGAGGCAGCCTTAAGAGATTTTTGGTTCAAGCCAATGGGAACTAAGAATCTGGGACATCTGGTTGTCTGATGTATTATTTCTAATTCTTCATCTCTCATATCTATATCCTTCTCTCCACTCACATAGCCATTGTCTTAGTGCAAGTTCTCATCACCTCTCACTTTGGCTTCTGAGGCCAAAAGGTGGTACGGTGGATAGAGCCTTGGAGTTTGAGTAGGGAAATCTGGATTCAAATTCTGTCTCA